ATTATAACAAAGTGATGAAATATGTTTGAAAGTAGGTTGCAGACCTGTCCTTTGTAAGAAGCTATAATGGCCGTACATACGGATCGCCTTGACCGGGGAATGAGTACCCACTCTCCCAGAACTGTCACAGAAATCTACCACAATTTATTATTTAGTTATGCGTTAGCAAAGAGATATCTTACTAATAAATGCGAATGTTTAGATAGATGGATGGATGGATAGATGGATGAATGTTTGTTTAACGGGCTCTCCAGAACGGCTGTTGAAATTTTGCATAGATTCAGATCATAGTCTGGAAGAACACATAGGCTACAAATTAAGTTTTTTTAAGTAAATTAAGTTTAACTATGAAGTAGAAGAAAATTGTGCTGAAATATTAATCTTCGTTGCTTTTGTTCCGTATTTTCTGTACGTTTATCCTTTTATTAGCCATGAAAACATAAGTTAAATAGCAGTGTTCATATAGTGTTCGTAATTTCCAAGGATTTATTCAAACCGTAATGTCAGAGATATAAATAATTAAGAATATTTAAATCTAAAGTCGTAATTACAAAAAATATTCAAGTTAATATATTTAGTTATGAATAATTTGCTTCATATTAAAATATTATAATTGTTCTTATTTAGGCCTATAAGTAATTAATTACTCCAATAAACTTTATGAAAATTTGTAAACGTTTTGTAAAGGAACTTGTTATCCTTCAGTATTTTACGTAATTTGTTTATTAAAGTATAATTAACGGTTATTTTTTTTAAACAAAAAGTTATTATTGGCTAATAATTAAAATATTTATAATGCGGTATTATTAAAGTTGTGTTAAGGAAATCAACATAGCTTATTGGTTTATGTTGATTAAAAACATTTTCATGGTATAACTTTCATTATTAGCATGCATTTTTATGCAGAAACTGTAGTCGTAATTTAAAGTTTACATAACACGGAACCTATATTGTTTTAATTTATATATTTGGCGACTACTAGGCCACTTGGTAATAATATAAATCCTTTATAGTTATTATAATATAACATAGCGCATTGTTTTAATGGAATTTCTATGCATATCACGTGTTTCGAACCAATAAATGTTATTCACGTGCTTATGATAAATATAATATTTATTGTTTCTTATTTTTTTTAATACAATTTAAGTTGTTTGTAGCGGCCAAAGTCATTTGATCTTGAATTATTTTTGCTTATCCGCGATGTTTTAGATAAACATTTTTAATCTGTTTAATTTAAATGTAACCGATCTAAAGATCGCAATAGTAATATAAAAACCCATGGTCTATTGCTAAGAGGATATTGGAATATTTTTTGAACTCAGCTTCATGAAAAGTAATAAATAAAAGTAAAATAGTAATAACATATAAGAAAATAATTTTCGGATCAAGGATTGAATATTGGTTTCGTTTATAAAAGAGAATGTCGAAAGTGTTGCACTGTTTCAGTAAAACATAATCAGAATCGACTGCTACAGATCCGTGATTTCTTAAGGAATTCGTAAGCTTGCATTCAGTCAAATTAAATTAACATGTTATTACTTTTTTGAAAACAACAAGTGTGGGAATTTTTTATCAAAGGTCCTTTTACGAAATTCTTTTTTTATATCATAAGGTAGCAAACGACCAAGCGGTCGCCTGATTTCTTCGAAATAGCGAAGTGACCACTGCCCATAGTCATCGGCACTTGCAGATGCGTTGTATACCTTAAGTCGACGTAGGACGACGACGTAGACTCAATCAGGATATTGCAAGGGTTTGTGAATGTTTCATTTAAATAATATGTGATAAATAATCGCGTCTATAGTAATGAGTTGATAGTTATAATTAAGACCATAGTACAGGAAATACTAGAAATATTTGCAATCATAAAAGTAGAGCAGTATTAAGAAATAGGCATTAAAAAAACTGGTTGAATGGTTTTAAGTGACAGTTCTTATTATCATTCGATGGCGACATAATGTAAATGAATTTAAAAATACGATGTAAAATTTCGTATCCTCAGTATAAAACTAATTGAATGTTTGGATATTATAATATATATCCTAATGAATTTATAGAAAGTTGTACATACATAAGTAGTTAGAAATTTAGTTTTATTAAGGTTATTAAGTGTTAAGTGCATTAAATATCTTATATCATTGAAGTTGTGTTTAAGTTAATAAATACAATATGTTTTCAAATAATGTATTTGGGATCCCATAATATTATTAAATCACCATGTATATTATTTAAGGATATCTATTAGCTTTGTTGATTACTTTTATTGAAACTAATTATGTTGACACGTGCTTTTAACTAAGTAGCAAAAGATAGCGCTACTGTTATGGTACTAATCAGGCGACATTGAGTTGTCGAAGTATGTAACCGTCTGAGGGAAAGCAGGCGTTATGTCCTACAACTACATAAACTACTTGAATCTCTTTGATTACAAATCATTTTATTTGACTCATTCTATCACATTATATCAGTAACTCCATCTAGAGTATATACAAATATCTACTAGAGTCATCACGGTCGTGTAGATAAGATTTTTCTACTATAATGTTTTTACGAATTTCTTCTTTAGTAAACAAGTGGTATATGTACACCGTAGTCATATCTTAAATTGTATATTATCAATAGGTGCCTATGATAATTTATAGATACGTCATTGAACGATGCCAAGGTAAGATGCTACTTGACATAAACATGTTGCACGTAACTTTGGATTTTGACTGCAGTTACTCTGTACACTTGTGTTGATAAAATTTTGATCTGTCTATTCTTTTGTACAAACTAATATTATAAATAACAACTAATGTTATAAACAAAAGACAATGATATGACATAAACAGAAACTATTAAATTGAACAAACTATAGAATCGATACTGAATTCTATCTTGGTATACAAACCTTCACTTATATTATTGGCTTGTAGTTTTGTTATGTGGTTTTGATTAAAAAAAAGTAACCTTGAAAATAAGTTTCAGTTAAGATTTTGTCATAATACTGAATTCAAAAAGTTGCTTTACATTAGCATAATAACTGGTAGAATGTTGTTACTAAAATAATATAACATAGGAGAATTTATACGCTAAGATACCATTACTTACAGTATCGCTCTTCCTCAGAAAAGTCGTTTTACGTAGTTCTCCATACTAAAAATAAGTATTATTTTCAAGTATTAACATACATGCTTGCTAATCTTTAACTACATACTTCCGTGCGAAAAGAGATAAGGCACGAATTATCTACAAGGAGTTAAAAGATCAACCCCGAGACACGTGCTCCACTAACATTGCTTATTGGTCTTATCTTTATAAGATTTGTGTTTTCTTGGTATTTACATAATTTTATTATTGTCTTGTTAAAGGTTATGTCTAAATCCCAATGTCTCAAAGGGACAATAAAAAACCTTTTTGGTTTTCCAAGGTTTACGGCTTAAAATAAATAAAGAGGAAAACAGACTTCCGAATTCTATTTCCGAATTTATGCACTCAAAATGTACATATTTTTATATTTTTTTTTATAATACTTTTTAAATTTTGAACTTAGAACTTAGTTTACTGACAGCTCTCAACATAAAAGGACTACTATATATGCCTACAGAAAAAAACTTGCATTAAAATGGCTGCATTGACGTTGTATCAAAAAGGTTACAACTATAGAATGCCAAACTTATCTGACCCGGTGGGAATAAGTGACACCAAATAACAATAGCTTATTAATGCCCTCTTGCCCAAAAAGATCCTCGACCCATAGTAGTAATTATTTTGCTTAACTAGATTTTACATATTTTCTACAACATTTAATCGTGATAGCAGTGCTATGTGCTATCACATCTGGTCAGATATGTTTGTCGGACTATAAGACTGGATTTTATAGAAACAAAATCACACATAAACAAAGACTTGACCTTGCTCTACCGAATATGACTGATGTTGAATTTATATCGGCTTGCATGCAGATTTAACGATGCGTATATTTATATTATAATTTATTCAAGTTACATTGAACTGAGGATCTGTACTAAGATTTGTCTAAAGAAAACTATTTAGATACAATTCCACTTTTAAAAATATTCTATTTATTTCTTGTATGAAGAATTGTAATATGAAGAATTGTATAAGACTAGTGTTATTAATTAATGAGTTAATAATACTTTGACATACAAGATGATATGAATCTCTTTCTCAAGGTAACAATTATAAACCTGAAGCTGTATTTTTTTTAATCTTATGCCCTAACATTTTCATGTAAATTTTTTTTTTTTACATTTAATGTCTCACAATGTGAGCAAAAAATACTTTTAAGATTAACATTGCGATAATATTTACGAAGTACTTTTTTAAAATTTTTGACCATACTGTATATTTTAGTTCACTATCCCAATAAAAGGAACGTTCCAGAATACGATAGAAATGTTAAGAGTAGCTTTAGATACAAAGCGAAAACCAGCAGTAACCGGTTCCAAGCTTGCACTTTACTACTAAGATGGAATATAATAAAAAATTAAAATCTTAAGAGGGTATATGTAATATTTGAATATGTACCTAGATTTTTAATACGATATTACCGTTGTTATTCCACGTAAACGTTTATTTAAATTCGAGCTAATAAGGACGCGTATTTCAAAAGCAACAAAATTGTGCATAGTTTATTTTACATTGTTCGAGATACGACTGATGTAAAGTTAAAATATTTTACAAACGAAGCACGTTTTTCATATTCCGTAATGCAAGAAATAAATAAAGACGTAACACAATTGTTGTCACAGCTTAACTAGGTGATTTTTAGAGACAAAGGATTTTAACTACTCATTTAAATTCGATTGGTTTGCTAAGAAGTCTATTTCTGTAATATTCGTTTCGTTCTGGTTAGAAAAATTTATATTCCTTAGTAATAACTTTTTTGTAAATTTATTAAACATTGTTTAGAAAAAGAATCAAATAAATTTCCTAACATTTTCAGCACTCTATCATAAAGAAAACCTAAGTAAAAAAGGTTAAATACTTACTCTTAAATAGACCCATCTTGAAGCATTTCCTCATGATGCTAGGAAAATTTTTATTTCCCTCTTCGACCATGTAGAATCGCACTACTTTTTAAATTGATTACTAAAATATTTTTAATTTAAGTATATTAAATTATAATTTATATAAAAGTTGAATTCGATCGTAATTATTATTTAGGAAAACGCGGGAAAATCTACAGTAGAAGCGAGCGTAGCGTATAACCGTTGCAAAGTGTTTGTATCGTTAGACTGAAAGCAGCTCAAGCGCCGGCCGGCTACACTCATTGCCACGCTCCTTTTAATATCACAATCACAGTTAATCCATTATTAAACACCTTATATACAAACGCAACTTATCTACATGTAAGTCCTGTACGGAATGTTTGTTTTTATAATTCGTTTAGGAAGTAATTAATTACTCACCGGAAACTGATAATGTGCATTTTGACTGAAGTGAAATTTGTATTAACACATATTGCTATCTCTATCTATATCCATATATCTATATCTTGTCAAACAGAATTTAAAGGATAACAATATGTATTAATAAAAGTTATCAATGGAGTTCTGGGTATAGATTCAGTCTTTATCAAAAATGACATAAACAGTTAGGCTAATTACAAGAATCTAATAAAGTAACAATGACTTTTGATATTATTTTATCATTGTTATAACAATGTTTAATTCAGGTACTTAGTAGTATATTTTACTTTTGGAATAAATAAAAGTCACAGTATGATTGTTCCCTAACTGATTCCCAACGTTTACTTAGATTTTGATGAAACTTTAGTATTATGTATTGTACGCCAGAAAAAAAAAAGCATTTTTTTCCATTTAATGAAGCATTATTGCTTGCACTATGACATTATTTTAATAGTTTGTGTAATAACGGTATACTAGGTTATGTTTTGAAAGGGACATTAAGTACGTTGTACCAGCCACGATATTAATAGGCTTCGAAGGCGAGAGAAGTTTCTACAAAGATCCTGTCTAAAACTAGTCGGTGTGCCGTCGAACTTACTCGAAAATATTGCAAACTGGACGCTCATTTATGATGGCAACATTTAAATTGTTATAATGTGTTTTGAGCATTCATTTTTGCATGTGTGCAAGGAACAAAAACTTGCAGCTTTTAATTTGCATTATAAAGCTAGGTTTCTTGTTGCGTGTTTTTATTTATTTCTAATCTAAAGGTCGTAATCGGCGAAGTATGCATGATACAAATATATTCAAACGCAAGTAGCAATGACCTCTTCAACCTTGACCGATATTTCCGGAAATAACTATACTAATCTAACCATACCTATACATGATGCTGATTACCTTTATCTTGGCAATAAGGCCATATTGGTTTGTAATTTTTTTTTTTTATAAAATATTAGCAGATTTTTTGTGTAAATTTACTAATATTTCTTGTACCATTCCAACTAAGCTCTATGCTTGTGCTAGGATATGGTTTACGACAATAGTCGAATGGCGGGATTCAAACCCCCGACCTCGTGGTCGGAAATCCGTACCCTTAACCATAAGGCTTTTGACGCTAAATTACTTACTATATTACTTACATTATATTCGTTAGTTCGTTTTTCTGCTTACTTTAATAATTTCGAGGATTTTGCAAATAAGTAAGTAAAGTAAGATTGAAAAGAGCTATTCCAGTTTCTTAAATGTGTAGAAGTTGTTGATTCTTGTTACAATTTTATGGCCAATTAGTTAAATATGTGAGCATTTTTATAATTCCCTCGGCAACTGTGATTGGCTCTAAGATTTGTCCAACATAGATATAAATGCAGTCATAAAGTTTTAAAGGACAAAGAGCGCATCTTTATCACGATCAAAAGGCAAACGGACTGGATATAAAAGCGTTTTATTATTAAATTTGTATTATTAACAAACATGATTAAAGAGATACATTTACTCTTGTAAACTGAGGACGTTTATTAAGTATCCATATTGCATAGGATCGCTCTAAATTATAGCTTTTTATAACGGGTCATGTATGCAATATTTGATCTTGACTGGGAAGCGAATTTAATTCTTTGACTGTATATTGACATCGCTATGCGGTGATGTGGGCCCACCATCTTACTATTATTACCTGACAATTTTCATGCTATAAAACGTAGGTACGTATAAAATATCTTACAAATATTTAACAACTTTAACTAAAAAAAAATTTTGATTATTATTTTTTTTGGAATGATCATGAAATCTCGACACTATATTTTAAAATTAATTCAATCCTGAAATTTATAAGTAAAAAATGTACAATGACGTATTTTACGATATATTTTGTTCCCACGGTATTTAATTCCGTCAGATATTTACTTGCAAATATGTACTTGTTATTGTATTGCAACTGTTTCACTCCCAACTTTTTCTCATAAAAAAACAATAATGCCGCGAGAATAAACAATGAAAAAATAAAATAAAGCTGTGCAAATGGTAATATGTATTGCCACTCAATCGAGATACGGCTGTTCAAATATTTATAGTTTGAGGCCAAATTTTAGTCCTTTTTCTCTTTCCATCTTAAACTTATAAGGAAAGGATGGGAAGGGAAAGTGCATTTGAAAGAGAAAGGGACGCATAGGATAGGGAAATATTATATTTCAGTGTCCCCCTCCTCCGTCGATTAGGCAAAGCATCTGCAATTGCGGATATGATCGCGCGCTTGTTGGTTTGCCACCTAATAATATAAAATTTTTATCATTGGTTTCTGAGGTCAAAATCCTTGCGTAAAACATATCGTTATCTCTGCCATCATCTTTAACAAAACAAAGATAACACAATTTTATTTTATAGATATTTGTTTTTGTTTGCTATCAATAATGCTATCAATTGATGCCAAAAAATTACAGGATGTCATTTTTTTTTGATTACATCTAATTCAGTTATCGGTCAGGTAACTTAATTTTCAAGAACATTGCCTGACGTTTTACTTGTATTTAAAAAAAATGTTTTCTTCAAGTAATAACATCTATTTCAAGTACTTCGAAGACTTTTCCTGTTATTGTTAGCAGTTATGTTTCCAAATTAGGTTTTTTTGCTATTATTAAAACGAAATGGAGATGTATTTTACTCAACAAAACGTGTCTAATGATTTAAAAGAACCGTCTAAAATGCACGCATTTTTTGTCAGCATCCATCGTAAAAACAACACAAAAGTTTCTTTAAAACTCTTGTGGTTGCGAACGCTTTATAAATGGCAAATGTTTTACTTATAATTACGCTTTAAAAATATTTTTCATTGGAAACTTAGAGTGGCAGTATTTGCATCGTGTTATGACGTTCAAGAGGTTACGTCTTACGTCTAGTGACGTCATAGATTGTTAATCGGGATCGATACTGCATAAATAAATAACCCATTCGTGATCTTGTGAATAAAATTCATCATGTCTATCTGAGAAAATACAAAAGATAAGCTCTCACAGTCGTCCAATTTGGTAATCAAAACAAAAACAATGTCTAATGTCAGTGTTTTTTTTTATCTTTGTATTATATATTTTGCATACAAAAGCAATGTTGGTGTTGCCATTTGTAGAATGGACACGAACCCAATTGTTTCAATAGAACCTTCCATTATGGAACTCCGGATTTGGGATAGTACAATCGGTCACTCGACTGACGTGAATACAAGAATTTTGAGTCATCGTAAGCAAATGACAGGTATTAATTTGATGTCCTAATAGAACATAGTATAATATTTCTTACTTATAAAATACTTTTTTTTATCTTATACAAAACAAACTTACCTAAAAATGGAAATAAAATTTCACAACTAAAATTTGTTAAGTTTATTATGAGTTAAGCAAAGCCTATGTCCAGCAAAAGAGCCTATCTTTGTAAGGTCTAAGGCAATGACGAAAATGATAATTAATTTACGCAAAAACAAAATGAGAATGTTTAGATATAATGGATGGATAGATGAATCTTTGTTAGAAGGTCTGCAGAAGATCATAATGCATCTCGATCCATTGTTGCAGAACGCAGTCTGGAAGAGCACGAACGCTACTGATTAAATTTTTTTAATCCCGATCGAGGATCGACAGCTCGTGTCTTATAAAGCTAAGCGGATCTACGACAATCGAGTTACATGTTATCCATATTTCTATTAACAGTGAATTAGCATTCCTGGTAACAAAAAGTGCACGTATCAAAGTTCTAAAACAAATTTATCAAATCTTCATTGTTAATGGTCGTGATCGGTCCACGTAACCGCATGATTGTGGTGAAGATTAAAGTTCTTAGTACTCTTAAGATCATTTACCTTATCGCTTTTTGTAATGTCATTAACAGGAAAGTTAGCAGACATATTTAAGACTAGATTTTACACGCGATTTCTACCGCGCGGAAATAAAAAAGTCTCGTAACATTTGAAATATACATGTCATAAGGTAACTTTGTAATGGCAAAAGCATTTTTGACAAAGGTCCAGAAGTTTTTGAGTTTAATCTTTACATATAAAAATACAAATCTTTCCTCTTTATAACATTACTATAGAAGATGTAGTAATGATGTAGTTTAGATAGACAAGAAATGTGCTTCCTATAACGCTGTTTAAAGAACATTTTAGTGTAAGTCAATTGAGTACTGCGGTTTTGTATTGTCCATTTTTTTATTAAAATCTTTTTAACACATCAAAGAGACCAACTCTATTTTATTGTTTGGCGGTAAAGGCACAATTTACTTCTTGTGAATTTCAAATAAAGAATTCTGATTTTTTTGTTGTTTGAAACTTGTTTAATGTAACAAGAGATTTTACCGATCAAAAAACAAAAGTTAATATAAACATAACTGTGTTTCTGGATGATTGATTTTATTAGTTGTATCATTTAGCACACACATGCTTTTTTTAATTCTTTAATCCTCTAAGGCTATAAATTTACATCTGGATTTAAGAAAAGGAAAATGTATTATGCGCATGAATGTCTGTTTAATTGTCTGTTGCTGAGTCCTTGTAATAAAGAATTAATTTGCACTGATAAATAAAAAGCATTTAACAAGCTTGTATAAAGTAAGTTTGAATACCAACGAAAATGTTAGTTAACAATCGTTCAATATTGTTAACTCTACCACATATGATTACTCTAAGAGACAGTCGTAAGGGCATTTCTTTATGAAATACATTAGTCATTTTGTGATGTAATTAATTTATTGGCCATTCTGTTAATATTGAGCAAAATATTTTAATCATGCAATTAGGATAATTTCTAATTATATTTAATCTGTGAATTAACTAATTGGTTAATTATACTTTATATAAAAAAGACGTTTTAGTGATCGAACAGATAGAAGCGATCTAAGGTCAGTACAAAGAAGTACTATTTTATTTTAATCCACATTCAAAATCTTTTGTGTGAAAGAAAATTATCTAAAACGACAGAAGCCACATATAACCATCATCGTAAGTAATATTTTTACCCTAGTATATGAAGCTCAAGTATAAATTAAATTTTTAGTATTTTGATTCGTAAATTTTAATTGTGGGTTTCTAAGACAAAAATTTCTATGCAAAATTAAGTTGTGATCACTCTGGATTCTTTTGAAGAGAAATATGTATTTGTGTTTCCGCAACCAAAATTCATGGTAAGAAATGTAGAGAACGTTATCTTCCTTGGATAAAAATGATATTCATTTTTTTCGTTTACTTTGCCTATGGCTTTGAAAAGTTTTAAGAACTTTTCATAATTTAGTTAGTTCAGGATTAAAAACTACTTTCCAAAGGCACTATTTACTCCTTCGAAAGTTGTTTCCAATAAAAAATAATGGAAGTTTCTGTGATTTAAAAAAATAACAATTTAATTTTTTGTCACCATTTCCCGATTACTGTTTTTATGCGTCATATAAAAATGTATATTTTCTACCAAATCACATGCAACCATTAATTTCATTAAAATTGCATCTGACGTAATTTAATAACTTTTTATAAACGTATAACACGAGGAAGTACTTTTTGAGCATTTTAATTTAAAATTTAGTTCGATATAACTTAAATTATTCAAACTTTCGTGAGACATTATATTAAACTGATATATAAACACGGCTAAACACTCACGTATATACGTCCGGTGGCGGCACCGACTAGTTTCGAGCCCATCGGGGGCCCTTCATCAGGATTAGTGGCACTGGTATTATTTCGCGGACGCGGCCCGTCGCTCAATGATGAAGGGCCCCCGATGGGCTCGAAACTAGTCGGTGCCGCCACCGGACGTATATACGTGAGTGTTTAGCCGTGTTTATATATCAGTTCGATATAACTTGCTATATTTTTATAGACAAATTAAATTGAATATTTTACTGAATAAGTTTTCAAAAATGAATTTTCTTTTACACAAAATTCAAATTCTATTTTATTTCTTTACATAATTGTAAATTGCATAATATTCTCTAATTTAAGTTACAGTTGCGGGAACAACGGATTCTTTTACCTATGACTGATTTTCGTGTAGCTTACTATCTTTTTTTTTCTAAGAAATATTTTTAAATTAATGGCCTGTAATTTTATTACACGATGAAATATTTTTTTTATTTTACAGATGAATCAGTTAGTTATCCTAGCTATGGTAGCGTGTATCGCAATGCCTCTGCCAACTGCTTCTGGTTTCTTTAACCAGAGACAAAGACCTCAGTCAAGACAAAGCGACACAGATGTAGATGCAAACGTATCATTGGATTTGTCCTCTATACTTCCATTCGTGTCAATGATCAAAAGTCAAGTTAGAGACATAATATCCGAACTGGCACTTCAAGTCTTCGAATACGTAAGAAACATCGCACAAAATTTCAAAGTACGTTTACTAAGGAAATTGGGCAAGTACACACTGTCTGATGTCTTCCATTTAATGTTCGATGGTGTTGTTGACTTCGTAAAAGATGAAGCAGAAATGAGCGAGAAACCTAATGTCGCGGAAAACAACGTCACAGAAAATACGACGAAGAAAATCAATGAAGAAGATCAAATAGACAATGATTCAAATAATAAAGAAGAACCATCAGGAAATTTCATTCTTGATAATACGTACCCATGGACGATATATACTCAGTAGAATTATTTTATAACAGAGAATTTCAATATTTGACATCTAAACAAGATTAGTAATGTTAAATAGTGGTTTACATGCAAAATATTATTTTCTAAAATTCGTATTGTTAACATATTATAAATTGTATTTATATTAAAATATGACCAGTATTCAAATTTCTCTTATGTTAAAACATATTATTGACTGAAATGCGTTCAAGAATCATTTTTTTACTCTTATACACATTAGCATTATACTTTCATTGTCGAACCCGAAAACACATCAGATCATCACGAATTTGCTGTGTAGTAGTAAATGAAAATAACTAATTTTATTTAATTTTTCCTACTACCACATACCTACGATAAATGTTTTAGTTTCAGTTAATTTCAATTTCATAGCTTTTAAAAAAAATATTAATTCAACCTGAAGAATTAAGTTATGCGAAGATTGCGTCGTACTATACTACTATTTAAATTTGCCAGGCGTTGTTAATGTCGTAGGAAAATAGTAGGTACGGTTAAGAATTTTAACTTCAATATTCATCATTAATGAAATTTTTTAACCAGAACTACCAGCCATCTGATTGTCATGTATGTGCTCAATTTGTATGTCTTGATACTAATACCTGTAGTAGTAGCAGTAGTACTAGTAAACATTCACTATGGAAAAGCATCAGGCGCTAAAAAATTATATTAATTAAGCTTCATTTTGAAATAAATTTTACAAAATTTTCAATGAAAATATTTACTATACTACTATAAATACAATTAATTTATGATATATAAAATTCGGTCTGGAATCAATTCAGCTTTATGAGTGGCGTAATTGTTTTGTAATGCGATCAAAGTAATAAAAGAATATGATTGAATAAATAACTGAGTGCCTTATAAAAGTGTTCCGCTAAAATCTAGAATTACTAACGTGATATTTATTTTTCACAGGCGCTTTTTACTAGTTATATTTTCAAAGTTTGCTTATATGACTAAGATTTTTTAAGTTTATATTTTTATATCGACGGTCACAATTTTACTTACATGCCTTTATAATTACCTATATATTGATACCGATATATTATACGTTCATACATTCGTAAATATAATTTAATGTCGAAAAACATTTTTGAGAGCGATATGATAGAATAGCCCGAGTACAAGCTAATTTTACTTAGAATAACGTTAATTACATTTGAAATATTCGAAGTTCATATTTTTCCATATCCAAGTTAACTATCAAGAGCATCTAATTGTGACCCCTGTCAAGGTCCTAATGTACAAGTAACCTCACAAAAGTACATATGTAATTAAGTACAAGGTATCGCTTTGTTCAATTGCGTAATAATTATTTTATAAAACACTACTAAAAGATTTTCATTATGCTAATTTACACCTACCTAAATTAAAAAAATATATATCGTACTTAAACGTGAGATATGTTCCGGTTTAATGTTTAGTTTGACATATGTATAAGTACAACATTCTCTTAAACATGATTTACGGGTTATCAAACAGGTAGTTGTTATGTAGATAACAGGTACATATTTACATACTTACTGTGGGTTTTCGAAACCAAAATCCCCGTTTAAAAGATATTGGTGTATACCTCGTTTTGTCAAAGATAGTAATAGGGATGACGACAAAATTTTGGTCTTAGAAAATAACGGTTAATAGGCTCTTGCGTAAAAAGAGCTCTCACGTTTACGAAGTTATACAAATACCTTTTTAGTCCCGTTAAATAAAAATGGAAGTTCTGTGACATTCTCTAACCGAGAATATCCATTCTTAAAACAACTGTTTTAAACATATTGCCATCACTGCTTTTTTGAAATCAAATGAGAGAGATGAAAATATACTTATAACCAGATGTTTTGGCAATGGTACCATAAGGTTAAGTTGTTATGGACACGGAGTATTTCTTGTTATGGTTTCTTATTGTCAGGAGAATAAGAATATTGTTAAGATTACAAAAACATGGTACAAGTGCCAAAGATATTTGTTAAATATTTGCATACATTTTAAAGAAAAATGCACAAAAATACTAATTTCAATAATAATACAAATCTTATTGACATCTGTATGAATTAACGATTTATCCGGTCTCTTTTGTGTTAGCTTTACAATTAGTGACGTAAATACATTTAACACTTTTGCGTTAATTGTTAAATACTCAACCTACTTTTAAAAGTGATTGTTATTATTCGCAATTTAAAATAAGCAGTGTTCTTTCGAATATTTTCTTACAATTATATCATATTCTAATAATTCTTTCCAAAGACTGAGTGTTAATCGTTCTTCGAAGGTTAGTGAAGAAAATTGCTTGTTCAAAGAAATGGTTATGGTCACTGCTTTGATCACGAAGCAGAAAAATTGATATGAGTGACTGATTCCGTATTTGAACGGTTGACTTAAGTGTGACAAATTCTGACCTTAATTTTTATTCTATTACCATAGTGCAACGCGCCTATGCAGTTTGAACTGCAATGTATTTTTATGTAATTTTTGATGGTGATGTCTCATAAGGTATGAAACAGGAATTACAATTTGCAAGCTATATCCTGATACTGTATGTTACGCATTTTAAATAAATTTTTAAGTGAATAATAAAATGTAGTGTCAGCAACAGATAACATATAAAATATTATTTCTTTTAAATCTGAATCTCCAAGATCAAATATATTCAAAATAAATTTTTATTATATTCTATTATCAAAATTACTATAATAATTATCGTTATGCTTAAAAATAAAACACACTAGTGGTTGCTCGTGACTGCGTCCGCGCGGTAGTAAAAAAAACATAATTAGTAACCTGTGTGTTCTTCCAGACTATGTTCTATATGTATGAACGTTCAGCCGTTCTAGAGAAACCTTCGAACCATCCATCCATATATAAGTAAGATTCTATTGTATACATAACTTTTTTATTAATAAAAAAATGTTACAGTTCGTGTCAAATGCATTCAATGTCAAGTCGTATAATAACCGACCATAGACAATATCGGCCTTTAACCTTGCAAAATTAATTAGTACTTTTTACTATTATAATTGTTCCTTTGATCTGATTTATGTCAATGAAACTGGACCAGTTGCATTTAATTTTATAGATATAAGCGATGATGGCTCAGATCACGTTTTTGTTGGAAACTTCATTATAATCAGTATAATAAATATTGTTTTCAAAGAATCAGTAAAATTGACCTGAAGAATTCCACCATAGGATAAAAATAATAATAAAAACAAATCGAACATTGACATTTTAATATGTTTCGTTTTCCAAAGAATATTTTTTGTTTATTGTTAAAAACCAAGGAAGTATAGCTCACATATATTAAAAAAATTCATGTTAACATCCGTATTTTTAAATCACCATAGAAACTTATAAGCTTTATGGAACATCGAAAAATAAATCAAACAAATATGCTACTGCACTTTACACTATTTTTATTTATGAAAATATTATTAAATTTCGGATCTAGTACTTGTTCACGTAGTCTATGGCTTTACATTTTAAATCCTTTCCAGTTCTAGGTAACGGTAATCGAAAAATTGTATTTGTAATCTAAGGCCATAATTTGCATTCAGAGCACAATTCTATCGAAGGTACTGATGTTGCAACATCCAGTCTCCTATTCAGGCCGTTATTAAAAAGCCTTGCAATTGGTTCCAAAGACAAAATGTCCTTCTGTGTGACTATTACATTTACGATAGATCTGTGAGGCATTCCTTACTTGATACTAAGTAATGGTGTTGGAAATAATGTTCACTTATGTATATTTTTAAAAAGATAATGACTATAATAGCTTTTGGTGTGTTATGGCTAAGAAAAATATTTTAATAAAAACATTCCTAAATATAGAAGAGAACACCAAGGTCTAGTCTTTAATCCTACTTTTTAAACGTTATTAAACTCGTCATTATTAGAGTACATTGTTTCATAATTAATAAAATCATGAGGTCCATTTATTTGCATTTTTTGAAACTTATACTTTAATAAATTAACGATAAATATTGTTTTTCAGTTATCACAGTTTTTTAAAGTTAAAGATGCCAACATCTTAGGTAGGGGTGAAAAATATTCATTATATTTATGTTTATTTTGTTAAATTTTTAATGATATAAATGTAATGTAACTAAAGCTTATATAATCCGATCTCCGTCATCTCTATGATTTATACTTACATATTATAAATATAAAAAAGTAAAATCTATACTTTAAGAGATATCTATAACTACAACAACCTATATAAAATAATGAATGTTTTTTCCCCAATCTAATATTTTAACCGACTTCAAAAAGGGGGAGGTTATCAATTCGTCTGTATTTTTTTTGTACAAGTATTTTGGCAATGGAAATCCACGACTGCGCCGAATAGTACAATCACCAGCCGGTCAGTCTTTGTTATATACAGTTTATATACGACCATGACGCCTAATGCCAAAATACGATTGTGCAAACATTATTGTGTTCCGATTTGAAGTATGTTGTTAAAAAATTACAATTTTAATTAGATATATTATATTTTACACCCCATATTATAAGGCTTAGGTAGTAGAGCTTAGAAGCGTACTTTCAAATTGCTATAATTTTTATTAAACAAGAAAGAAACAAAAAGAAAAATACCTATGTCAAATTTTATACGATCGAATATACAATGAAAAGGAATCCCTGGAAAGGTCAAATGTGTTAAGTTTAATAAAGCGTCATCATTAGTACATTGATAATCACATCTAGAGTAAGTTTATCTATTAATATTATTTAGTCTTAAGAATGAATTCTTTGATGAATGAACTCAATGCCACTGTTAACTGAGGTAAATGGCGCGTCTGCTTCTACGGATATCGCGATTTCATTAACTGCGGTAAATGCATCGAATAACACGTGTTTAATAGCAACCGCCTGTGGTTTAATCTCATTATATAAGATTGCACAACACACAATTTGTGCTGCGCCGCACGCGCGTGACATTGACTTAGCCCCACTGCCGGTCCTCTACTCCACACTTTACCTCCGTGTGAATGTCTATTAGTTTTTGTTCTAGACATTTCGAGTGTAAGGAAATTATTTGCAAGAACAACGTAGTTTTTTAATTTATAACGGATGCCATAGGGTTATAGCTACCTGCTTCAATCCAAACTCTGAAACATAGACAATTTATTTCTGGTGAGAGACTTTTTCTCAAAAAAAAAAAAACATTAGCTAACCTTATTTTACAAGATTACTTCATTTTAACTCACAATTTTCACAAATTAACTGAAAACTTATAAATTTTAATGGCCACCATGTATCGGTCGAATATGTATGGGTCGAAACTTTGTTAGAACACATTTTATTAACAACATAATTCATATAATTACTGTGTTAAAATGTAAAAACCTGTGTTTTTATAATAAGACACAAAAACGGGAAATTTTAAAGTCACATGATTTTTATAGTAAAGAGTTGAATTTATGTTAAAGTTCACGGTCGAATTCGGTTAGAAGTTGCAGTTCATTCAACTTATGCTTTCGTTCTGTAGAACTTAAACACATTAGGGTCAGGTTCCGCTCAGATTATGAAACACTTATATTTACATTTTATAAGAAACAATTAACACGAGTAATGTACGGAACCAAATAATGTATTTTATTGTTTCCTCGACACCTTTTGATTTAAGTTAATTTATATTTATATTAATTTATACTTGTACTTTTATTTAATTTATAAATAATTTACAGCATTTTAAGTAATAAACTGGGCTTACCGGTATTTTTAATGTAACTATAAAATTAAAAAATTAAATTTTGATATTTCAATTAATGTCTTTTAAAGATTTTTAAATGTATGTGCAAATGAGATAAAACTACTTAATTGAATAATTTAAAAAAAAAACGAGAACGGATACAATAATACTCACCGTAGGTTTCTGACACCAAAATATATATTAAAAAACATATTGTCATCCCTGTCTTTCATCTTTGTCAAAACAAAGATAACAGTGTGTAATAAACGGAGATATCAGACTCAGAAACCCATGGTCAGTGGACGTAATTCAGAAAATATTAACGATGATAAATGAATATCAAATTAAACTACGATTAACTTCAGTATTGTAAGACCATAAGGCACCATAAAATATATGAGAGTATGCAGATGTGTGATTATTCATTAGCTCAACGAAGCCCCTTAATAGATTAAATGCAAATATTACGGAAATAATTTGCGAATAAATTGTTTGAATTTCCATAACTCAAAATACTTTGGCATTAAGCAAGGTCTTTCAAAAAAGGAATGTGTTTTATACTTACTTCTGTATCTGTACAGATAAATAAAATACAAATTTAAGAGAAGAGATGCTTGTTTATTCAGATTACATTCAGAATTCCCTGCATCAAATTATAATTGCATGCTTTAATAACATTTTACAAAGGCAAAGCTTTTCTTTCAGTAAATTTTACAAAGTAATAACGAATTACACAATGATTTTAATAACTACGGACCAGTAAACGAATATATCAACGTAAAATACAAAACTTTAATGAAGTGTTACAAGTGGATACTTTATTTATTTTAAAAAAGCAACCTATTTACAAGCTTTTATTTAATTTCCTAAACCTGTCCCGGTTTTTGTCATAAAAATCTTGCAAATTAGGTTTCATACACATCCCTAATACTGATTGAGCTGAAATTTTGCATACATCTGTGAATGGCGTAACAATGCAAAATTAGGAGGACTCAGTGCTGATCTGAAGAGCTGAAAAGTGGTTACAGTAACTTCGTAAGGTATCAACAAAACCCTATCGAGTTTGTGCTCGTTTGAATCGTCCTAACGAGTAGTTTGACTTTTTTTAGTTCTTTTATTAAACAGAAAATATTTTCTTTTAAGTTTTTTTTCTGTTTTAATTATTTATTTACTTGCACTGCACAGCTGTGTTTGTTTTTCTTTTATATTGTTGTCAACTATGTTTAATAGATTATTCAACATATAATTACGTACTTCATTTATCGTCTATGCTAATTAATTTATGATACTGTAAAATTATTAAAGTAATCATTACACCATAAACATTTGCATATTACTAGGAAAACATATTGTTGGAAAACTGTACAGCTATTATTTTTAACGTCGGTTTCTACTGGCGAAAGAAATTGTCACCCCTCTCATATATTTAACGCAGATATTCCGGTAGGGAAAACCCATAGTTAATTTAACCTGAACACTATCACTGAGAAGATGTACATATGTACATCACAAGTAAAAATATGACCGCAATTCGGTATGAGGTACATCGCAATAATTTCAAAGCTATTATTAGTGTCGGCATCTAGAACCTGGACTTATCACCTCCCCTTCCCCTTCTCCTCATAAGTGCAACCTGTTCTTATGGTCATAGCCCTTAAGTCCATAGGCGTAATGAAAAAACATACAGATGAAATGAAAACCTCATTTTTTTGTAGTCGGTTTAAAAGACTTGTTTTACTCATATATTTACGTCAAAGCTTGAGGCGTGTTAGTGATAACTGCGGTTGTGACATTGTTTGCTTGCCATCATCTTCAAAAAATCTAGCAGCATTAAAATATCAGTGAAGTAAACATTAAAAAAAGTCGTTTTTATTGTGTGGCTCGTATCGTGCACATCGGTACTTTAAAATCATAGAAAAGAACACTTCTATAAACTAACTTATATTAGTCTCTAAAATCGTAAAATCTACAAGAAGTCCAATAGGCTATCAATGTTCCGTTTAGATAAATACCAATATATAAACATTCTCTATTTGTATTTATACATACTCACTTTACGATGACGTCAAACATTTCTGAGACTAAACCAGTGTACAATTAACATCTATATGCGTACGAAATTCTATAAAAAAAACATGTGCTCACGTCAAAGAAAACATTTATAATTTTTAAATATAAAATTATAAAAACAGGACATCGTGAACTTTTCCACTGTTTCTATCTCAGTTGTCAGTTTGACAGTTACGATGGCTCCTACGTAGAAGAGCGGAACTGCCGCTTAAACTTGCCGCTTTTTCCAATTGTTATCAAACAGGTTTATTTTGTTGTATTCTTCGATATTGTTATTTGAGATTATTAAATGTTCTTTAAGAACAGTTTTCTTTGTTTAGATCGAAACAAAATTTTAGGCAAGTAGACGTATGAAAACAAGTTTAGTAAAAATCCCAATCGCGCCATTGGTTTAAGTGACAAGTAACAGCATCGCGGGAGTGGCGAAGGGTTCTAGGCACCGCTTCGGTAGTTGTGATTTTTACTTCTTAGATAACAGTTAATCAATTTCTTGTACGACATTTACACATTTATCTTTTATTATTACTCGAATATGTTTAAAACTATTGTCATATTTTACAAAAAGTGTTCTTGCCAACGACGGTATTGTTTATACCTCTTGATATGATTCAGCCTTTTATTTTTAAATGTCGACGGATTCTGCATATTAGTTGCAACTTACCGCAAAATGTGCGGCGTCTAAACGTCTGACAATGGGTTCTGTTTAGTTCGTAATAATGATTTTGACTGAATTCCACAATTGTTTCCGCAAACCACCAATAGATGGCGCTGCTCGGAAATTAAAACGTGCTATAGAAATATTAATGCATAATTATTTACCTGTTATGATTTTTTTGTCGTTGTAGTTGGCCTGTCAAAGTGTTAAATAAAGTGATTTGTGCTAGTGTGAGTGTTTTCGTGAATCCCTAAGTAGTTTTATTGTACATGGTGCCGAAACCAGGGATGGACTTTGGACTCTGCATTGTAAAACACTTGTAAATTTTCAAGATTTTATTCTACGGACTTAGAAAAATTAGCAGTGGTTTTGGACTTAGAAAAATTTTGGGTCATCTTCAACTTGTAATTTTTTGAGATTTTATTCTACGGACTTAGAAAAATCAGCAGCGGTTTGGACTTAGAAATTTTTTGGATAATCTTCAACTTGTAATTTTTTGCGATTTTATTCTATGGACTTAGAATATTTTTTAACAATTTTCAATTTTTGAAAAATGGCTGAGAAATTACTTAAGAATCAAACTGATCTACTGGGAAGGTTAGAGAAAGAGAATATTTTTTAACAATTTTCAATTTTTGAAAAATGGCTGAGAAATTACTTAAGAATCAAACTGATCTACTGGGAAGGTTAGAGAAAGCACAAACAAATTATAAAAAGACTCCAAAAATTAGAATAACTAAAGGTTATGTGGACACAAGGATTGATACGTTAGAAAAGTTGCGTGCAGAATTCAACAGTAATCACAGAGAACTTATTCAGATAATCAGACCTGAACAAGAGCAAGTTTTACCTTACTTTACTAATGATAAATATGATGAGTTTGAAGAGATGTACATCGCCCACATGTCGGATCTCAAAGAAGTACAAAGCAAATTCACTGAAAAGCACAAACCTGAATCGAATACCCCGCCGTGTAATGAAGTTAAGCTTCCAAGAATACAATTACCAACGTTCAGTGGTAAATACGAGGAGTGGCAGACATTCTACGATATGTTCGTGTCGCTAATACATAACAATGAGAAACTATCAGCTGTTCAAAAGTTGCACTACCTGAAAAGCAGTGTACAAGGAGAACCAGAGAGCATGCTGCGTAATTTCGCTACCACAGACCAAAATTATGATGAGGCTTGGAAACAACTGACTAAACGTTACAACAACAAACGTTATAATTCAAACGCAATTCTTAAGATACTATTCTCACAAAAACAAATCAATACAGATTCCTCGCATGGTATCAAACAATTACTAGATATAACGTCTTCTTGTTTGAAAGCTTTGAACAATATCGGAATAAGAACTGAAACATGGGATGTTATAATAGTTCATCTTGTGGTTTCCAAACTGGATGTGGAATCTCATAAACAATGGGAACAGCAGATAAGTCTTATGGCGGAAGATATGCCTTCGTGGTTGCAACTGGTTGAATTTCTAGAAGCTAGATTCCGAAGCATGGAGATGATAGACTCTAGTAAGCAAACTAAACCGTTGACTCAAGTGAAGAAACCAGTAACTAAGGCTAGATCATTCCATTCAGCGGTGCAGCAACAGGATATCAAGAAGAACGATTTAATATGTGCTCTGTGTGGCGAGTGTCACTACTTGAATTTGTGTAAACAGTTTGAGAAGAAATCTGTGCAGGAAAGAAGAGATTTTATACAATCAAAAGGGCTATGCTTTAATTGTTTGCAACCGACGCATGTTGTTATGAAATGTCGATTACCAACGTGTTGCAAGAAATGCGGCAGAAGACATCACACTATGTTACACTTTGATAAGGAAGAGTTCATGGAACAGACGATTACTAATCAAGGAGAGAAAAATCAAAACAAATTTGACGGAACGAAGCAATCTGGGTCATTCATAGCTAACCCACTAAATATAGTGGCGAATTTCTCAAAGCAAGACATAAGCTATCAAGTGCTGCTGGCGACTGCTATAATTAAGGCTCTTTCAAGAAACGGGAAGACATATCCTATTCGTGCGTTGCTAGATCAAGGTTCTCAAGCTTCTTTTGTTACGGAAGCAACGGCTCAATTACTTGGTCTCAAACGTTTTTCTGTGAATGGCATGGTATCAGGTTTGGGAGGTGGTCAAACGCGTGTAAAATATATGGTAACTTTAGGTCTTAAGTCGCGTCACAACCCCGAAATTACCTATCATGTAAATGCTTATGTTCTAGGTTCACTTACCTCGCTGCTTCCAGGTTGTAAGCTGGAAACACCTGACTGGCTGGAACTCCAGAAATTGAATCTAGCTGATCCAAATTTTGCTTCACCAGGTAAAATTGATGTTTTATTAGGAGCTGAAGTGTACTATGAAGTTTTATTAGACGGCATGATGAAACAACCTCAAGGAAAACTCTTAGCGCAAAATACGGTCTTTGGTTGGATTTTATATGGTAAATTGTCGGATTCATCTTCAGCTAATGACAATGTTACAAGTTTACATTTACGTTTCACTCCGGACGACGAATGTCTCAAACGTTTTTGGGAATTAGAGGCTGAACCTGATCAGATTCAGAAGAGACTGACTAAGGAGGAGCAATTATGTGAAGACATCTATCAATCTACAACTGTTAGAAATAAAGAAGGAAGGTTCGTTGTCAAACTACCATTTAAGAATGAGGATCCTGTATGTCAATATGGACAGTCGAAGGATATAGCAACGAAAAAACTTATAGCTTTAGAAAGGAGGTTAACAAAAGATCCTAAATTATATGAAGAATATCGAAAGGTGTTAGATGAGTATGTGACTCTCAAGCATATGACTCTTGTTGATGGAGCAGACATAGATAATCCTAAAGCGGTTTATCTACCTCACCATGCTGTAGTTAGAGACGACAAGGACACAACAAAGGTTCGCGTGGTCTTTAATGCATCAAGTAAAGGCATCAATGACGTTTCTCTTAATGATGATCTGCTGGTTGGACCTAAGCTTCAACAAGATTTAAGGCATTTATTGATGAGGTTTCGCACACATCGAATTTGTATTGTTGCTGACCTTGTAAAAATGTATAGGCAGGTGCTTGTACATGCCGAAGATACGGATTTTCAAAGGATTCTTTGGAGACCTAATCCAGACTTGCCTATTCAGCACTATAAGTTGCTGACATTAACTTTTGGAACGGCATGCGCCCCGTATCTGGCAGTAAAGACATTACAAAGGCTGGCTGACGAGGAAACACATAATTTTCCAAAGGCATCTGAAATTACTAAAAGAGACTATTACATTGATGATTTAATGACCGGATGCAATACAGAAGAAGAAGCTAAAAATATTTATGATGAAATGAATAATCTAATGATGTCTGGAGGATTTCAACTTCAGAAATGGAGTAGCAACAGCACCGAGTTATTACAATATATTGGAGAGAACAAAAACAATAAGGAACAGTCAGTGCCAATCAAAGCTGATAATATGATGAAGATTCTAGGAATACAGTGGGATCGAGCTACAGATAATTTTGAATACACGGTCGCCTTACCTGAAGTAAAATTACCAATTACGAAGAGGCAGGTTCTGTCCGACATTGCTCGATTATATGATCCAATGGGCTGGATTGCGCCAGTTGTAGTTTCCGCTAAGATTATTATCCAGAAAATATGGCAAGAACATTTAGACTGGGACGATCATATCACCGGTGAGTTACAAGAGAAGTGGATTAGATTCAGAAATGATCTGGTTGAAATCAAGAAAATTGAAATTCCTAGATGGATTAACAGTACTAGTAGTAGCTCTCTTGAGTTACACGCATTTTCTGACGCGTCTCAAGCTGCGTACGCTGCAGCCGTCTATATTAGGGTTATAGAGCCTGACGGATCAATACATGTCAACTTGATATCGGCTAAAACAAAGGTTGCCCCAATAGATAAGGTAGTGTCAATTCCCAGATTAGAACTATGCGGTGCAACTCTTGCAGCAAAATTGCTATTTGAGATATCTCAGGTCATGAACATACCGAAAGAAAATCTTTATGGGTGGACTGACTCCACAATCGTATTGGCATGGTTGGAAGGTGGAGCTAGCAAATGGACCACATTTGTCAGCAATCGTGTATCAGACATTCTCTCGATTATGGACTACGGACAATGGCAACATGTTTCGACTGACACAAATCCTGCGGATTGTGCGTCAAGAGGTTTGCAGCCCTCAGAAATGCATTCCGAATATTTATGGTGGCATGGACCTGTTTGGCTAAAGCAATCTAAATTAGAAGAGTCAAAATGTAAAATAGATGAAACACATGAAGAAGAAAGAATAGTTTCTATGAAGGTAACACAGATAAAAGAAGAACATTATGAATGGACGAAATTTTCAAGCTTAACAAAGATGTTAAAAGTAATGTCATTTTGTAGAAGAATGTTGATGAAAAGGGAAGAAAGACAGCAATTACCTGTATGGGTTAAACGACACGTGACAGTTAAGGAAATGAATCAGACATTAGAGATGTGTATCAAACAAGTTCAAGGAGTTGAATTTGAAGAAGAGATAAAGTTGATACTAGAAGGGAAAGAAGTCTTGAAGAAAAGTGTACTTCATACTCTTTGCCCAGTTTTGGATCAAAACGGGTTGCTTAGAGTGGGAGGACGAATCGATCAAGCTAATGTGAGTTATGACACTAGACATCCAATTATATTACCAGCTAACAGTCACCTTACTCAGCTTTTGGTCGCGGACGCGCATGACAAGACTCTGCATGGTGGTCCGCAGATTATGTTGAACTTTCTTCGTTCCAAGTATTGGATAATACGAGCTAGAGATCAAGTCAAGCGATGCTATCGCAAATGTATCACTTGTATGAGATACTCCAAAGCTGCTAGAGTTCAGTTAATGGGACAACTTCCTGACGCGAGACTGAAACCTTGTAAACCATTTAAAGCGACTGGAGTCGACTACGCGGGTCCTATTAATATCAAATTTTCACCAGGCCGTGGAGCGAAATCTTACAAGGGATACATCAGCTTGTTCGTATGTATGGTTACGCGTGCAGTTCACATTGAGGCAGTTACTGATTTGTCAACTAAGGGTTTTATTGCAGCTTTTAGACGGTTTACTTCGAGGCGAGGTCATTGTCAAGACCTTTACAGTGACAATGGCACGAATTTTGTTGGAGCTGATAAACAATTACGTGAGATGTTTGATAGCGCCAAGTCAAATCTGCCCCAAGAGATCGCTGAAGCTTTGACGTTGGAGTCTACGACATGGCATTTCATTCCTCCGCAATCGCCAAATTTCGGTGGATTATGGGAAGCCGGTGTACGATGTGCTAAGGGACATTTACGAAAGGTAATTGGGGATACTACGCTGACTTATGAAGAGTTGTCTACAGTTTTATCGCAGGTTGAAGCGTGTTTAAATTCGCGTCCCATATCGGTTTTGAGTAATGACGCAAATGACCCTCTCCCCCTGACGCCAGGTCATTTTTTAATCGGAGAACCTATGTTTAATGTTTCTTATGATAATTATACAGATTGTAATATTACTGGTATTGATAGATGGAAGTTAGTTCAGAAAATGGTTGGTGATTTTTGGATAAGATGGTCTAAAGAATATTTGGTTTGTTTAAATCAAAGATATAAATGGAATTCTAAATTACCAGAACCCAGTGTTAATGATATTTGCATTATTAGAGACGATAGCGTACCACCAACTAAATGGCTTTTAGGTATAATTGTAGATAAGCATGCTGGACCGGACAATGTAACTCGGGTAGTAACTATACGGTGTAAAAATGGATTAAGAAAGAGACCATTAAGTAAAGTTTGTGTTCTTGACAAATGATTTACATTGTCACGGTGGGCGGATTTATTTTTTTGTTGTTATTTCTTGTTTTATTAGTTACTTTTCCAGTTTATATTACTTGTAGATGTTAAGTTCATTTGGTTTGTAAAGCTTTGGTTAAATAAGTTTTTATATCATTTGTAAGAGATTATTTTGTTGTTTGTTTTTAAAAGGACAAGTCCTTGGTGGGCGGAATGTTTAGTTCGTAATAATGATTTTGACTGAATTCCACAATTGTTTCCGCAAACCACCAATAGATGGCGCTGCTCGGAAATTAAAACGTGCTATAGAAATATTAATGCATAATTATTTACCTGTTATGATTTTTTTGTCGTTGTAGTTGGCCTGTCAAAGTGTTAAATAAAGTGATTTGTGCTAGTGTGAGTGTTTTCGTGAATCCCTAAGTAGTTTTATTGTACAGGTTCCATTGCTGTAAAACATGTATAAAAACATAACACCACACTTTCACAGTCTTCGAACAGATGTAACAATATGTTTTTATACAGATGTTTCGGTAGTGAAAACCGACGGTTACTTTTATTTCCATTGTTATACTTATCTTTAGTAAATTCTTGGGTACTATGTATGAGATGTGTGGATCGAATACGAATGACATCATTTTAAAACAACATATTAACCGCAAACTTTATAAAATTATGGTAAATTTTAATTTATATGTCTATTTACATGTCCATTATAAGACGTCATTTTAAGATACGATTGTTATATGCTATGATCATTGTTTTAAAAAGAATTTCTAGATTTTTACCCGCCTGACTCAGAAACATAATGTTTTTCATGCGTTATATTTAATTTATGCGGGGTTTATATGTTTGTACCTAACATTGTGACCGGTTGTAGTCTAAACGATTTATCCGATTTTGACGAGTGAGGTTTCTTTTGATTTGTATTCTCGAATGTCAGACAGTAGGTTTTTTATTTTTTAATCAACATATAGAGATACTAGCTGTCGCCCGCGACTGATAAAAGATAATAAGTAGCCCATGTGTTCTTCCAGACTATGTTCCACATGTATGCTAACTTTCATCGAGATCCGTTCAGCTGTTCTGGAAATACCTTTATACATCCATCCAGTCATCCATCCATTTAAACATTTGCATTTATAACATTAGTAAGAAGTAAGATATCCTTAATATCTAAAAGTTAAATTTTTTTAGAAAGTATTTTTGCTTGAATTTTGATATGATTCAACATCGTTATGATTACTTACACGTTTTAAGGACAAATTATCATCGCAGCGCACGATGGTTCAGTTTTACTAATAATTTAAAGTAATTATATTATATTTGATCGTAGTTAATTAAAAAATTCTAAAAACTAATAGATTATTGGTGCGCTACGAAGTGAATTATCGATTTTTCAGGCATTTTGAAGGCGAAATGCATATCACCTAATTTACTTACACCTTATAACTTATTACGGTAAATACATATTCAAGGCATAAAATTGTAAACGTGTAACTATTTTTGTTAATTGAATATCAAATGTGACATTCTTTTAAGTAGTTAGTTTTAAATTCAAATGTTAATTACCTAGAATATTTACTTCAAGGATTTAAGTGGTTGATGAAGAATTAAAAAATATATAATTTACTTACATTTAAATAGAAACAGGACAGACAATTTAAATTATTGATTAGAATAAATATTGTAGCGACTATATCCCTATATAATTATTAAGAATTATCTTGTTTCATCGAAATATCATACAGTGTTAATCATGTACAACCAGCCAACAGTTTTTTTAATATTTACAAACCTTTGCGGTTTGAATTTTAACAGAATTTTTATAACATGTTGATAAGAAACTTTTATTTTAATGATTTAAATATCAGTAAAGGCATCATAATATACAATAACATTGTTTTTTTTTAAGAAAAATTGAATGTGTTTATTAACTGTTTAAATCAATGGTTTTTCTTCTACGATTTCCAGGTAAGTACTAGTACGATAAGATGAACGCCGAACAGTTCGATTAGAATGAAACCAGTTGTGCTGTTGTGAAAAGCAAGAAGATGGTTGTGACCTACAGGCAGGTAAGAATTAATAATAAGTTTAATTTACTTTTAAATATGTAATTTTTTATGATTAATTTTTTTTTCATGCAATTATAAATATTTATTCGTTTTTCACACAAAATAATTGAGAACCATGAATTATTCAAAGGACAAATGTCTCAACCTTAGTTTAGTTAAGTTTAGTTTTTAAGAGCTTTAATGTGTCACAGAAATAATTTACCTAGGTAGGGTATATTCTTGCTTATGTTTTTAAGAACCATGATTTTTTTACTATAATTCAAAGTTTAAGAATAAATACAAAAGATGGAGTGTGAAAAGTACTATTGATGTAATAAAATAGTTTCTCACTATAAGCTCCCGAAGTGCTAAACTTTAATAGGGCAATTTTATATTACCTAGACTAAGATCTAAATCAAAGTTTACTACTTCTAAAAACTACTTGTTAATCTACGAATATTTAAGAGTATTTGAATTACGTTCCGACGTACTTACTGCAAGGATAACATGGTGATGCTACCTGCACTAATCTGAGAAGATATTAAAATATATATGTATGGAGTTAACCAGCACTGTACCAGCGTGATTAACAAAGGCCTAGCCACCCCTAACTTAAGGTAGGCTACGAGCCTCTCGGTGTAGACGTATAGTGTGCTGTTGATGATGTTATTTGAGTTATACTAAATTATTTCAAGGCATAATAATCCACATTTTTATTATTATTATTGTGCGGGCCGATCTAGTCTCAAATAGTTTATAATATATGTACATAAAACGCTCGACCAGTATTTTATTTTGTTACAACTTGTTGCACAATATTTGATTTGCTATAATTTAGAGCACTATTGCATATTTTTAAACTTTTGAGTTTTTTTTTGTATTTTGGAATATGTAAATTTTTAATTTTAATAATTTTTGAATATTAAACCATCGATACTTTAAAATATTTGTATAAAGACATCTATAATATTTAAATAATATGTTTTTAAATATCAAAGGTCTGAAGAATAGATATAGAGTACAAATAAAATAACTAAAAATTAATCACTAAGCACTTACGATATTTTTCATTGTCGGATTATAAAAAATAAGGTTTCATACACATATCATTTCCGAAACGTTATTGAGATACCATTTAAATTGTTATTATCATGTTAATTATAAAATTATTTTAACACGTACGTTTTAGGCTTTTCCTGCGATCACCGAGTAGGGGGTAGTTTGCATTTTTCTGGAGTAAATCCTGAAGCTCCGGCGGCATTTCTGCGTCGATATTCTTCGACTTCATATTGTTAATCACAACACTTTTAATTGTATCAATACAAAATTTAAACTTAGAATTTTAATTGATATTAAATTAATTGATTTTTTTTTAAATTAACACGCGCGCTAATCACTCTTTTGTCCTTTTACCGGCGGCGTATGGTTTCTTACTGCGAATGGGATGTAAGAAAAATTGAATTTATAGTTTCGTTTTTCCAACTCGGAGTTTTCATTGTTGAGACGATGATCCCAACGGAAAGTCGCGAGTCGACTGCGCGCGGACGGTCAAGGGTGCAAGCCACGCTTCCGAGCACGACCTAGCCAGCAAACACTACGGCACTGTTATCCCCAGCACTCACACAATCTTTTGTTTACGCATTTATTAAGTTAACATTACGCGATTTAAATCCGCAATAGATAACAATATTATAATAAGTAAGGTTTACATTTTAATTATAGTTTTATTTGCAAGGATTTAGATGTTTAAAATTAGGTTCGAATTCTTTTTAATTTGTTATTATTTTTGAAACTATATTTAATTATTTTTCAGCATCATAAAATAAAGACTTAACAGTACGTACTTCAGGGTTTTAACAGCGACTTATTGGCCATATATTTAATTTTACACAGCTTATTATTGATTGAGTATTAAAAATTGTTATATTTAACATAAATTCTATAATAGTTTAAAATCAAAAAGTTTTTCTATGCCGCATATTTTCTAGTGCTATAAAAACTATTAGGATTAAAAAATAACATTTTTGTATTCAACGTAGTTTAATGTATTACTAACATCTAGAAAACAGTTCGTTGCCATTTCATTGATAAAAAATCATTAGCCATTATTAAAAAAAACATGAGAATGCATAATATAAATTTTTATCTTCATTTTTATTGTACTTACGGTTAAACTGATTGCACTATTGTTTATGTTACAAATTTACACATTTAAACAGAATAGTTTTACGAGAAGATTTGTTAATTGAAGTGAGTTAAAGTTGCTTAATTAACAATTACTGTAAATATTATTTACAACTATAATAAATATTTTAACATTTCTTTTATAAATATATGTTTACAATTAGCAATAAGGCATTTCAAAAAAATACGATGACCTAGATAATCGACAACACTATACGACGCGATAATATCGTAGGTTTTTGTTTGTATTTGGCCGAAACAACTGGAAACGAAGTTTGGTATGAAACCTGCATGGATTTGGTTGATTCAGGCGAACCGTTAATACACAACCTCATTGTTTGATACCAAATCTAATAACGTACTACTAAGTACGTCACACTGTTCCGTTTTCTCTTCTCTTTCGATTTATTGTTTTCTTCATTTCTTCTCGGTCGTGATACTAATTGTACAGTCAGCTACATAAATATGTACACATTATAAAACTTGCATAGGCCTTCCGTTTCAAAAATATGTACGCACATATCCGACATACATATTTATGCAGCTGACTGTACAATCGGTGCGCTATGTGATAGTGTAGATGTATTCTATTGCTGATCTATGAGAGTCATTTGTGGCCCTCATTACTGCTTTAAGGCCTTATGTAGTGGTCGCGTTATATCGCATGGCGCTGCTTCGTGTTGTGTATCACTCGCCTAACATAACGGATTGAAGTATAAACTAAAAAAAAGAGTTATCGCATCAAAAAATATTATCATTATTATAATAAATTAAATTGAAC